GACAACCTAAATGAAGCACCCGCAGTTGAGTTCAGTCAGTTACTGTTATATAAAGTGTTATAAATGTTTATTAGGTCGTATTACCTGTTCAATTTTATAATTTGATTTGCAATTTGCATTTAGGTATCGTACGGTAGTTTATTTCAAAACACGCTTTAAGTTGTCTAGTAATCAAAGCAGCTTAAAAAAAGAAAATAATTAAAATTCATTAAGTTGCCAAGCGTGATAAGTATTTGTGAAAGATTGGCAACTCTGAAGGGTCGGTAAAGGCGGTGACACACTATCGATCTTTTCCCCGATCAAGACCCCGAACCGAGCAGGGAGAAGGGAGAAGGGAGATAAATATCAGCAAAATTTTACTCCGAACATGACCAAGACCAGACGAATTCTACCGAGCGCGGCAAAAGGAAGTTTGGAGAGAGATAGAGAGTGTGTGCGAGTAAGAGCGCGGAGGCAGTGCCGTGGAAGAGGGAGGGGGGTGCCAAAAAGTTTCTATAACATAAAAATTATTGTTAAAAGTCGCATTTTGAAAACTTGTCGAAAAAATAAAATATTCTAGAAAGGATGCTTAGTTATATCTATTGATTTCTATTGGTTTTATTCATTGAAATAACGTTACAGAATGATAATTTTAATTGCCTTTAATAATATTAATGTTTATATTATTTTTAAAAGAATTTAAGTCAACATCAATTACTTAATTCAACCTTAATATTATTGATATAATTGATTTAACGGTTTCTACACTTTCAACCTTGACCAAACAAACCAACACATTCCATCTTACATTACATCTTAAATGATTATAATATATAACGGCAACATATTACCCAACATTTATTTATTTTACCAATTTAAGAGTTTAATTGCCATATTAAATCAGAACTATCAATGCTAGCGCAGGCGGCCGCTCGGTGCGGCGCTCGCGACGATGTACGGGGCAAAAATGTACCGTGACACACTATCGTACATCGGACCGTACATCGGACCGATCTTTTCTTTGATCTTTCGCCAAAAAACCGCCTCCAGAGCGCTCGTCTCCCTGCTCGGCCTGATGTCTTGTTCGGCGTCTTGATCGGTGTACGGACCCGTGACACACTATCGAACATCCTCCCTTCGACCTCCCTTCTCCCTTCTCCCTGCTCGGTTCGGGGTCTTGTTCGGGGAAAAGATCGATAGTGTGTCACCGTCTTTAAACGGCCTGTCGGGCCGCGAGTGGCAGAACTGTAACGTTGATGCGATCAGGTGGTAAGACGCCACTATCACATCAGAGCGCACTCGAGATATGAGCAATTGTTGATGTCATTCAGCCAATACTGGATTGAAGTAAACAACAGTTATCTGTGAAAGGAATGTGAATTACAGCTTTGGCACGAGTTGTTATTGTACTAACAATTACTGAGCAAATAACTCTTCGACATTGCTGACTAAATTTGCAAAAGTAGCAGTAATTATTAACTTTGACTACCGATTGAAGTAGAGATCCTGTTCAGGTAACAACGTTATAAAAAACGAATGAAGTTGCGTCCAGTTGAGTAGTGAGGGACCAGCAAAGTGCACTGATGACAATTTTTGTTACTTATCGAATACACCAGCTTTTTTACCACACGAAATTGAAACGACGGATCGTTGTTAACTAGTTAATATAGTTACTTTCATGTTATCTCACGGAATTAACGGAATTAAAATCACCATAAAAACAGCGGAGTGCTGACGGCATGATGATATTATAGAGAGTTGACGTCGACGAGAAATGTTTAAAGCTAACAATTTGACCCATATAGCTGCAGTTGTCTTGAGTAGCTGACATAAGCGCGACCTGATTATGCTTGCATTGAAGCATGTTTAGATTCAACGTTCTTTTATAGCTCGAGGAAAATCCTCAATAGGTTGTCTAGAGAAACAAGGAAATTACCAAGAATGATAGGACATGTTATTTCGACTACTCTTCCTGTTAAATTGTATTTATATTTATACAATTGGCAGGTAAAAATCAAAATGACTGAAAGCGATTAACACGCTAAATTAATTTAGGTTTTATGGAAGGAGCAACACACATACCACAGTATCGCCTTTATTATTGTGCCATCAGAAGTTTGATCTTTTAACAATCACAAGGCTCTTACCAATTTAGACTTATCCAACAAGCATGGCGGCTTTTTGTATTTGTAAAGTGTTTGGTAGTAAATCACTTAGCCTCGTTTTTCCTCTCTGTATTAAGGTTGTAAACGAAGAATGTACATTTATTTTCTTAACGCGATTTCTTAAAAATGATAAAAGTGGTATGAAATGCTGCAAGCTCGGTCCCTAGCTCATTATCAGCTGATTACCGCCATTTGTGGCGCCTCCTTACCCTTTCATCTTTGACACGAACGCCATTTTTGCACAAGTAGTTGTAAATCATGCAAAGGGTAAGCTAGCTACAGCTTCCTCGTGTGGAGCTTATACAGTATTTGGGTCAACAGTTCACGCGTGAGATGTAACTACTTAACTTATGTAATGAAGTGGTTTATATTTGAAGGGGTCAATGGAAAACAAACATTATCACAATAACAACATTTTACACCAGACACTTTTTAATGTTTAAGGACTCACGAGAAAAGATTTTTAACTTATTAACAATTATTTATTTTAAAATCTATTACTATTATAAAAAAGGATGTAGTATCTGTATGTCTGTGTGTTTTTTCTGTGTGTCTGTCTGCCTGTTTGTGTGTTTGTATGAGCTAAACTCAAAAACTACTGAACCGACTGGGCTCAAATTGCAAAAAATAAAGCTACAGCTCCGAGCATATATATATAGTAAATATTGATTAGCCATCATGGCAACAAAGTACAATCTCACAACGTTTAAATGTAAATTAGCAGAATTGTCAAATGAATTTGTATTTCACAATTCCATACAGCTGATTCAAACATATTATTATTAAATACTGCATGAATATTAGAACAGAAACGGTATGGATCATAAATATAAATAAATGATGTCACTATAAATGATGACTTATATTTGAGTATAATTGAGTATAGCCCGAAGGTAAACATGATTTAACATTACATAAATAGAGCTGTCAAACCAGTTATTAGTGTAGGATTCGTTCAGTACCGTCATTTGTTTATGTTTATGATCTATACCTAGTTATATGAGAATTATTTTCCAAATATTTTTGTGAAAACATTAATAAAGTTGTTGGACTATTGTGATGGATTTTTGATTACAGGACAAACTACTCACTATGTTGTGTGGCTATACCTTAAAATCATGTAACTTCCTTAGTCTATACAATAAAATAAAGACTTCGAGATAATTCGACGCCGTGTTGCTTGGAAGTGTCTCGAAAGATAATAATAGCCCATCTCTTTTTTACCATGAAAATCTGTCTTTTACTTAAACCTTGGACTAGGATTGCAAGGTATTGTGTATACGAGTAAACAAGCAATTTTGATTTGCAAAACACAATATGTATTTCAACTGCGCTACCTACAATTAATCCTTTGCGATTGTTTATTTGTTATTTTTTTGGATTTTAATTAATAAATGATAGAGTTTGAAACAATTTCACACTATTTTGTTGAATGAATTTCGCATAGTTTACTGTTTACACCTCATTCGGCTTAGGACGCATCCGGTTTTTTCGTCAAAGTCACTCAACTGTATACTGTAGTCAATTAATTTAATTAGTAAAACATCGAGATAACCCAAATCTCAAAACGTAGCATGATCAACATGTTAATTTTAACATAATGGTTCGTTATCTATAGCTATAACTGGATAGCTTAGTGATTAAAGTAGGCTAGTAGGATAAGTAATGGTCACCCAGAGAATATCAGTAGATTTTTGATGGTACAAAACTGATCCCAGCTGTCCTTAATAGTTTAATTTTCAAATAGACTATTCTGGCTTTTAAGCAAACGGCTAGTCATAATCAGAAAAAAATCCACACAAGGCATGTGATTCTACACTCATCCACTAGCACACCGGGCTGTTCTCCACCACCCTCCCTACACCTCATAATTAATTTATTAGTGGTAAATGTTGGACTATAACATAAACATTCACTTAAAAAATTATTAAATCGCATTAATCTATTACATTCAGATTAGACTATAGCATAACAATCTTAAGACAACTTTATATGATCAATTTAATACTTCATCATACGATTACCTAATGTACACTTTTTTTTGTTTATGCTTGCAAATTTCCTGATAAAAAACAATTTCTCTCTTAATATGGTTTATTATGGTTCATATAGTGGGCTGACATTTTTGAAACATTAATGAATTATATCTAGACATACTTACACCATAGACTATTTTATTATGTAATCCTTATGGATGAGCAAAATTATTGCATGCTTTCTGTATATATTTTTTAATATTATAATACAGCGCAAATCTTATAGCCTACTATATACGGCCTAAAATTAGAGTGAAATATTTTTGTCAACATTAACACATTAATCAACAGACTTTTCATGGTACACTACTATAAAAGCTGCAATTAAACCGTGGCAATCTTAACTGAAATTCATGAAACACTAATGAAAATAAACAATAAATTAACAAATATAAACAAAATGTAAAATAACATAATGAAATAAACAAACAAAAGCCGGCTACGTAGCCGTCAGACGTAGCTGCGGTGTGAACAGTGCACGGGCGACGTATTAATACACCAAATACGTCTGCAGACGTCTTGCTACGCCGGTGTGAACAGGCCTTTAGCTCGTATGTGGGTAAAAATTCAATAAGTCGTGTTCACAGCTGGGTTTGATTGTTGAGAGGGTTGGATCAGCTGACATTTAATTGTTGACGTCGAGTCGATGGGATGTTTGTAGAGGGGTGGAGGTGTGAGCCGACACTTCCATCACCTCAACACCTCCCCCACCACCACAAGGCTTCTGTAGCAATAGCAGCGATCGCTCGACTGGGCGAGTCTTTTGCTTTCCTTGTATTACGTAGTCCCCATCGACCCTCCGCTTACTACTCGCTAAGCGCTAAGCGCTGGGGAAGTAGACCAAGTTGAGCTTTGATGTTTTGTCCCGCACGCGGCGCGCTGTAATCAAATACCACCACATCTAGAGTTGGTTGGCGAATAACACTGTATCGTCTTACATTGACATTTTGAGCAAATTTTGCTACTTTGTAATTACTGTACTTATGAAGTTTATCTGCAATAGTGTTCAGTGCTGTATGTTTAACTCAATTATTATAAGACGTGCATCCTATGTTACAAGGTTAAGGAGTAAGCTATGATATGTAACATCATATTTACAACTGAGCATTGGCACAAAATGTAACATTTTAGGTTAACATTTATTAGCTGGCGCCAAAACGTCGTGTCTGCAGTTACTCAAGAGTCCCCTTAACAATGCATTACTACATTTAACTGAAATATAATTTTATTCCCAGTTTACATTGAAAATGAAATTGAGTTATATTTTAGGTATGTGCCGTATTTTATATACCAAAAAGGATAACATCGGTTAGCTCTGCGATTTTTAAAGTTAATAATAACAAACTTTGTTGCTCAAAACGAGAAAGTCAATCGGTCCCGGGTCTAAGTCTTACCATGAGACCTACGGTAATAGCTTATTCCCTATATGGGAAATTCGCTAAAAATTAGCATGACTACGAACACGTATTCTTGACTTTCGTCACATAAACATGCAATTTACTAAAACAACCCATATCCTGTAACAGCTATGATACTTGAGTAGGATATCCTAAATGTACTGCATCTATGTCAATTAAGAGACTCGTGTAGCAAAGAATTGCTTTGACTGAATAATTGAGACGACCGTCCAATCGACGAGTATTCATTTGGCTATTCATAGCTAAACATTGGGCGACATCAACAATTATTTACATTGGCTTGAATTTCGGTTTTCTTTGATACCTTGACGTACAAATGTCAGATCTTATACAGCCTACAAGTAGATCAACAGCAGTCAGTTAAGGATTCGAGTACTGTACTCAACGTATCAGATTCTTTTTCATGTCTACATGCAAATTTGTATAGAAGGAGACTGAAATTTTCCTAGGAGTATACTGTATTATACTTTCACTGAAAAGTTGCCTTGTTCTAGTCTTATGTTTTCCTGTTAAGCAAATATTTCGTCCAGATAAGATAGGCCTAAATAGAAATTATTTGATCATTTCCCATTCTGTCTTGCAGCCAATGTTGAACATATCAATGTCCACATTAAAGTATCGAAACGTGTAAAAGTGAAATATTTTAACCAAGGACAAATCCAATGTTACACAAGAAGGGACGTTGGTATAGAACTTATTACTTAAGCACAATAAATTAATAATTTAAAATTTGGTAACTTAGTAATGTTGTGTCTATGGTGAAAGGCTAAGCCGGGAAAGTTAGTTTTTACCCAGGCAGCAGTAAGTTGGCGATGTTTGCGCGTGTAGGGTATATTGATTATGAATGTGAACACGCATCCCCTGGCTCAGCCACGGCACTCTACTGTGCTGTGATGACTACTGGAATCTAACTTTTAAAATATTAATGCTATTTATCACTACCTACATAGTAACAGATACTTAAAAACTGTAAAAGTCTGATTCTTTGTCGTAAAACAATAACGAAAATACATGAATACCATTTGGGTAAAAGACGGTTGTAGGTTAAGTAACTTTGAAGGGATTTGTTCACAAAATGAACAGATCAAGTTATCCACGGAAAAGAAGTGTCGAATGATCTTAGGGGAATAGACGTCATTGAACTGGCGAAAATACTAGCCGATATTTTGTATGCATTGCTGTATATTCTGAGCACTGCTAGTTGAATACACACAGAGTAAATAATATAGGATTTTCTAGATGGTTCCTTTTTCTGTGATTGTAGCGTGCCCCGAAGAGCAATTGCATTATTTATCAAGCGTTAATAGATGCATAGTTAGTTTGCAAATGGTTTGTGAATATATTAATGCATTTGATGTAAAACTCAAATCAACGATGAAATGCAAACCTAAGTAGTTCAATTTTCACATGGTGCGATATACAATATAATATTGTCACATCAGTCGACAGTCGACAGAGAATGACGCACGCCGCTCCTCTCAGTGTTGACGGTTGATGTAATTGACGTGGACATTGATTGTATCACAATGTAACACTAGAGATCAGATATTACAATATTACATAACGCCTACTGATATGTAATCAGTTGTATTTGGAATAAATACATAAATATACTTGATAATTTGAAAATAATGCTTTGATCTTTATAATGTTAGAACTTGAAAATAAAAAAATTGGAATCGTAAGTTTTGATCGTTAAGTAGTTTAAAAATAACCATAAAACTAAAAACAGAAGAAAGAGAATATGTAGTAGTTACAATGGTTTGGGAATAAATTTAACTTCCGGACAACAAATTTGCCAAAACATATTTGAAGTGTACAGAATTTTATTTTATTACATTTTATGTTAGTGAACGGTGACAATAATTAATTTCAACATCGAAATAGTTCCAAAAACCTTTATAGTTTTAGTGCTTTGGTAATAATATCTAATTACTTACTTTATACACGGTATTGTATCATAAACCTCTTGTTAAATGAATTAAAGGTTTTTTCAAATAAGAATAATCTTTTTAAAATAATCTAATATATAAAATTCTCGTGTCACAGTGTTTGTCTGCAAACTCCTCCGGAACGACTTCACCGATCGTTATGAAATTTGGTGTGTAAATTCTGTAGGTATGCGAATCGGATGTAAACTATTTCCCGTTTCGAAATTCTTAAAAGGGCTCCGCCCCAGTGGCTCTGGAGTTTCCCATGTTAACCTTATGAGAAATGGAATTAATGAATCTTAACAGCTGTTTCAATTAAACAAGTTGGTTCTGTTCTATGATGTTCAATAGCATTAAAGTTACAAGGATTACCAACAGGGTGCAGCACTATTATTTCTTTTACATTTATGACAACAGCTAATTTGCAACCAAAAGGTGAGTGAGCGTAGCGAACGAACTTCAACCTGGAGGCAAGTTAGCGTAGCGAACGAGCTAACCTGAAGGCAAGTGAGCGCAGCGAACGAGCTCCAACCTAAAGGTGAGTGAGCGTAGCGAACGAGCTCCAACCCAAAGGTGAGTGAGCGTAGCGAACGAACTTCAACCAGGACGTGATTGAGCGATGTGAACGAGATCATCTTGAAAATTAAACCTAACGGTACTTTCTTTCCATCGGTCTGTCTTGGGGGAAACCTATAACTTAGGCGATACGAAGTTCGCCGGGTCAGCTAGTAGTTAAATAAATTTTCATTTTAAGTATAGCATTGCGGCGTGACAGGTTGCTAGGTAACGGCGTCATGTCAATACCCTATAGACACAGGTCAGATAAGACTGTTGGCTGAAGGTGGGCCTTTAGCAGCACATATCAATAGGTTGACTAGTTATTGAAGGATTGGAAGTGCACTTTAGATTTTCTTTGTTCATAAATGTTTGTGGCTACGTTTAAAGGCAGTATTACCACGTACTACTCATCATTCTGACCGTTCCTAGTAACACATTTAGCTAATTCATTTCACAATTTTTGTTATTCAATTAGTTACATTGATGAACATAACCTTTTTTTTAGAATTAATTTAATCTTATCTTATCTTTGTGTATTAAGTAAGTCACATGGCCTATTCTTGTTTAAATCTATACAGTGCGCCAGATCTAGTTTATAATATTAATAATAATAATCCCGAAACCAATCTTCATATAGTCACACATAGAGTGTAAAAGTACTGTATGTGAATTTTATCGCGGAACGAATATAAGTTGATTTGTAGAATTTCACGACACTAAAACAATTTTAGTTTTGGACACTTTATCCAAGCAAACGCAACAAATCACAAGAAGATGCCTCGATGAATTAATATAATATTAGTTCAAAAATGACCTACCGACCAGGGGCTTTTTATTATGTCATAAACGGAAGAGCGAAACAGATTAAATGGCCCTCAGCGGATGAATCTTATAATATCTTGACACAAGCGATTATCGATACGGCCGTTATCCGGGATGAATAATTTGTTTGCGAATACTGTAAACACTGATTCAGAGGAAACAATATTGCATTTTGTTTGTCGTTGTATCATCGGACTACGCGTTCATGTTAGATTGGTGAATGGTCATTGACATGTGAATATAATGTAGCGCGTGTTTAGCGTATTTACGAGTATTGATCTGCTAGCAACGCGTCCAATATTATTTTTATTCGTTTCACAACTATCTTACTTTTACCGACGTAAAACGGAAGCTTTTTAACGTTAAATAAAAAATCAGACGAAATGAGCAGTTTAAACACTACGAGACAAGATCAACAGAATGAGGAATAACATGATTACGTTTTTTAATTGACGCCAAGTGTTATTGCATTACTATGTAAAAATCAGTTACTATTTTCAGAGGATACATAGTTTTTTTTATATAAATCATCCGATTTACAAACGCACACGTAATTGAAATATTATGTTCTTCCGTAAACACATCAGACTATATAGCCATAGACTATATAGCTGGCCCAGCTACTTAACATTCATAGTTAGAACCTAAACAAAACATTTGTATTTTATAAAACTAAAATGTAATTTAGCAACAATTGGTTTACGAAGGAGATGATTTCCTGATAGCTGACTGAAACGACAAGATAAGTTAGAGTAAAAACAAAATACTTTAAAGTCAGTAAAAACATAAATGAAATAAAACATCTTTCGGACATTTTACGGGTAAACAAATAAGTAAAAAGATATACGTCGTTTACAAACGTACAGCAATGCAAGTTCACAAATAATTACAATAGATATGTAATAAACAAATTAACTGATTATGTTAAGAGATTATCTCTACTCATGCACGTTTGTTTTGTAATGAATCAATGACATCTTTTTATGAGCTATGGTCAACGCCTTTTCAAAATTTTACGTTACAAAATGCTTTGATTAATTAATATATGTTTATTTAAACCTGCACAAAATCGCTTTTATAAGTATCCAACGTATTCGATTACAAAATTAGAAATCGATATATAAAATCAAAATAAACGATCGTGAAATAAATAGACCTTTTAGATTTTACATCCAAACATCGTCAACCAAAAATATTGTATGGAAATCTAAAAAAATAATATGATAGGTATGGAAAGAAAAATGCAAAATCAAAATATAGCCTAGTCAAAAATCAAACAAAGCTCAATCGAACCCTACAAATAGACTACCCCTTATCAGTTACACCCTTTACTCGACATATACAGTTCTTACGTCTATACAGTAGATACGTGCTACGTACACACGTACGGACACGCCACTAGTATATTGACCCACTGACACAACGACGACACGGACACGACCCGGCACGGTTCAGACCCTATCACATGCTGTTCTGTTCACTTCGGACGTCTCCGTCGCCGTTCGGCTACGCTCGGCAACGCCCGACGACCACCGCGCTTATATTGCCTACTGGCGCCTTCACACCCCACTTTTGTTTACTGTTTGTTTACGTCTTTATGTATTGCGTTCTAATTTCATCTCGGTTGTGAATTTGTATGCTTATATCTAAAATAACTTGACCCCTAAACTCCAGTTATAACCAATGTATATTCTGTAAACACCTGTTATGACGTATAAGGATACTACTCGGTTAACCCTAAACTCCGGTTTTAACTGCAATGTATATTCTAAACACCTGTTATGACATTTAAGGGTACTACCTGGTTAACCCTAAACTCCGGTTTTAATTGCAATGTATATTCTAAACACCTGTTATGACATTTAAGGGTACTACCTGGTTAACCCTAAACTCCGGTTTTAACTGCAATGTATATTCTGTAAACACCTGTTATGACGTATAAGGATACTACTCGGTTAACCCTAAACTCCAGTTATAACCAATGTATATTCTGTAAACACCTGTTATGACGTATAAGGATACTACTCGGTTAACCCTAAACTCCGGTTTTAACTGCAATGTATATTCTAAACACCTGTTATGACATTTAAGGGTACTACCTGGTTAACCCTAAACTCCGGTTTTAACTGCAATGTATATTCTGTAAACACCTGTTATGACGTATAAGGATACTACTCGGTTAACCCTAAACTCCAGTTATAACCAATGTATATTCTGTAAACACCTGTTATGACGTATAAGGATACTACTCGGTTAACCCTAAACTCCGGTTTTAACTGCAATGTATATTCTAAACACCTGTTATGACATTTAAGGGTACTACCCGGTTAACCCTAAACTCCGGTTTTAACTGCAATGTATATTCTGTAAACACCTGATATGACGTTTAAGGGTACTACCCGGTTAACCCTAAACTCCGGTTTTGACTGCAATGTATATTCTGTAAACACCTGTTATGACGTTTAAGGGTACTACCCGGTTAACCCTAAACTCCAGTTATAACCAATGTATATTCTGTAAACACCTGTTATGACGTTTAAGGGTATTATCCGGTTAACCCTAAACTCCGGTTATAACTGCAACATATATTCTGTAAACACTTGATATGACGTTTAAGGGTTTTATCCGGTTAACCCTAAACTCTGGAACTGCAACATATAGGCTATTCTGTAAACAATTGATATGACTTTTAAGGGTATTATCCGGTTAACCCTAAACTCCGGTTTTAACTGCAATGTATATTCTGTAAACACCTGATATGACGTTTAAGGGTATTATCCGGTTAACCCTAAACTCCGGTTATGACTGCAACATATATTCTGTAAACACTTGATATGACGTTTAAGGGTATTATCCGGTTAACCCTAAACTCCGGTTATGACTGCAACATATATTCTGTAAACACTTGATATGACGTTTAAGGGTATTATCCGGTTAACCCTAAACTCCGGTTATAACTGCAATGTATATTCTGTAAACACCTGATATGACGTTTAAGGGTATTATCCGGTTAACCCTAAACTCCCGTTATACTGTAACTGCAATGTATATTCTGTAAACACCTGTTACAATATGATGACGTATAACATTTCATTTACCTTTGGGGTGTAGCAGTATAAACAATGGGGCGCTAAACCCTCGAATTAATCGGCTCTCCCGCCGTTTTAATTAACTTCCAAGGTTCAGCACGAGAAGTCTAAATTATTCATTTAGTGCGTGTACTCGAACTAAGCACGGATCACATTTAACATATTCGACAATGTGTTTACCATTATAGACAGTTTTGAAATCTAATTGTGCTCTATTAATAGATTTCAAAGAATCAGTTAAACAATTAGGTGCATTCTGCATCGTCATGTTATTGAACCGTTTAATAATAATAATAAATCTATCAATCAATAATACCAACATCCACCCTCGCATAGTCCACATTAATTGTATTAGGTTTGCATAAGGTCCGATCGTCCGACCTTAAAGAGCTACTTCCCTATAAGGCAATTCGCTAAAACTCAGCAAAAACCATTACGTTTTCTCCTTGTAATGGTCCCATCAAAAGGTTTGAACATGTCCCTATAACTCAAACAAAGCAACCAATCCCTGTAAAAAATAATGAAATACCAGCCGGCGTGCATAGTCTGTCAATGTCTAAAAACATTAAACAATTGAGGAACATACCAGCGTTGTTGTTGAGAGGAGACGTGAGCGAGGTAGGGCGGTACTGGGTCGGCGTGGTGGTGGTCTGGCCTGCTGTAGGGAACGGCGGGCCTCCTGGGTGATCTCCCCCTGGAACATGACGAAACATTAAACAATTGAGGAACATACCAGCGTTGTTGTTGAGAGGAGACGTGAGCGAGGTAGGGCGGTACTGGGTCGGCGTGGTGGTGGTCTGGCCTGCTGTAGGGAACGGCGGGCCTCCTGGGTGATCTCCCCCTGGAACATGACGAAACGTTAACCTATCCTATGACTCCATGCCATAGCTCCATCTTAAGTGATTCAGATTCAGAAACACTTATTCAAGATTTACAATATTCCAATGCAGAATGCCGTCAATAAAAACAATGAATTCATTTTATAAAAGGTTATCAAAATGCTCACTAAATGAGTAGTAACGTTTGCTTATCTTACTAATATTATAAATGTGAAAGTTTGTGTGTTTGTTTGTTTGTTTGTTTGTGTGTTTGAAGTTCAATCACGCATAAACCACTAGACGGATTGGGCTGAAATTTGGCATGATGATAGCTTACATTCCCGATTAACATATAGGCATATTCTTATCTCAAAAATCCTTTCGGGCTCCGCCCCAGTGGCTCTGTAATTCCCCATGTCAACCTTATGAGTATTCATATTTAAAGGGAATTACAGAATTTAGTCAGCTGTTTCAACTAAAAAAGTTGGTTCTATGATATGGAAAAGCATTAAAAAGTTATAAGATTTACCAACAAGGTGCAGCACTATATTTTTTTTTTTTATTTATGAAAACAGCTAATTTGAACTAAGCAGCAACAAAAAACTGTGATACGCAATGAGAACTGTCAAAGTAGGATTGTTTACAGTTATGTTTATGTTTTTCATTTCATGAATAATTTGTCATATTTTGCCAATTGTTGATCATTTATTTTTCTCTATTGTTTAGGTGAAGTGGTAGAACATTATGGCTATGGTAGATGTGTAATACTATAGAATACTGTAAATTTAAAAAAAGCAAATTTTACCAAACAGTGTCCTCCCTTATTGCAAACGCAAAGCTTGAGTATAACTGCAATAATTATTTTATACTTATATTCCAACCCCGTACGAAGGACGGGTACTCTGCTAGTTATAAATATTTTCAATTTATTTTTAATTGTATTAATATTATTAATTTTCATGATATCTTTAGGCATAGAATACAAAAACCTAGTACCTGCAGCGGTGGTGTTTTTTTTTTTATATGATAAAACTTTAAATTTTGCCTCTGGATGGCTGGGTAGTTCCGATGCCGAGTATTATAATTATGTGTGTGATTCCCAATTTTGGAAGTGTATGTTTATTCATTTCACTTTTTAGATTAATTCTAGTTTTATAAATATATAATCCATACACTGTAAATATATTTAATTTAGCAAAATACTGTTTCGCCGACTGGTTGTCTCCTAAGTTTAACATGATGCGTATTGCTCTCTTTTGTAAAATTAATATACTATCTAAACTTTGAATTTTTGTTGCACCATATAATTCAATGCCGAATGCAATATGTGAGTTTATGTGAGCATAGGAAACCTTCACTGAACAATCAATGTAGGATAATATATCAAGGACAAGCGGAGGACCCATAAGTTAACTCTGAGATACTCCATAGGCTTGAACTCCTACATTTCGACTTCATGCCATTGCGTAGAAGCTTCCGTAGTAAGATACACTAAAAACCAGTTGTATATCTTGTTATTAGAATATCCAGGAGTCGACTATAACACATTGTAGCTGCAAAAGAGGCAAGAAATTTTTATTTTGCAACTGTAGTGCAAGCATATGTTAAAATAATGTCTACATATTGTTCTTCTATGTATACGGAATTTCAAGAAATATATACGAAAACTAAACAAGAATGGGCCATAAAAATGTATTGTAAAATTACCTACTACTAACAAAACAAATTTGCGTTAGTCGTTTCACTTTAAAGAATTAACTTTAGTAAAGCCCTTTACGACAGTCAGTACCAGCCTCAAGAGGTAAATAAACATCAACAACACAACACTGCGAGTCTTCACTCGAGTGACAAGGGGGTTTCAAGTGGACAAGGCAAGATTGTGAAGCTTTTAGCGAAATTGACATTGTCCTAGGACACTGGCTGGCGACAAAACTTTACATCTTCAACTACGTTTAATGTTTTCACGTGGCACAACGGAGTCTTATTGGTATTGTAGTTTTGACTTTGTCCTAAACCACTGTCATGGGAAAACATGTGAACCATCATCAACAATATTTTAAATGTTGTTGCGAGACACAGGGGGGTTTATTGACATTTTTATTGTGGTTTTTGATTTGACCTAGAACACAGACTTTGGGGTAAACGTGATCTTTAACGATGTTTGACCGCAAATGGTTATGATTATTTATTATATGGTTTAGTGTTGTAACAGAGCTCAATGTACATTTATCATATTTTTATTGTATAGAGTTGTTTCTTATTTCATCTTGCCTCGCCTTCGTTGTACATTCTCACTTAGCAATGATGACTAAACAAAAATGTCATAAACTGATTCCTTGATTATATTACTGTTTTATATTATGAACTTAGACTGCGAATCATTTGCATAACTTTATTGTATTACTTTTGTATTGTTTTACTGACACGGAATTTCATTTTATTTCAATATATTTGTTCAACGTTTCCACATAGTACATTGAATTGTGACAGTGTGCTTAACTAGTATATACGGTTGTTACAGGCTAAAAGTACCACAGTACAAAAAATGTATGTAGGCTATATATAAGAAAAAAATTTACAATTAAATCAAACTAATTGAGGAACATCTCGACATAATATTAATCCTACGGTAGAGTAGGGCCTATCGAGTTTTACCACGACGAGTATCCTTCGGTAATTTAAGATTAAATAGCGATTTAAGAGAATTTAATGTTGGTAAACTGTTATATTGATGGACACGAAATGTGCAACTAGTAATTCACCCTTCATAAACGAAAAATATTACAATATCGTTTTGAATTGAGCATTTAGAAAATTATCACATTTTTACTAGGAAGAGACAAGTGCCTCAAGATAATTCAAGGACTTGGAGGACTTGGCCAACAGACCTCTTAAACAAAATTATGTGGCAAAGTGCTCAAAATAATAAATCGCTGAACATTAAGTTTAAAATTAGTTTTTCTACGTTTGAGTCAATGTAGGTATAATTAAGCTGAAATTTCGGATAAACCAGTTTCATTTAGGTGTTTAGTATTTAAAAAGACTATAAGCCGGCATCGATTCATTAAGGGATAGAAAGTGAGGGATGGAGGTTGAGACGGAGGGGGGGGGGAAATCCGCCAACTGTTTACTTTACTTTACTAATGAATCCCCAAGTATTGTAGTTACAGATTGCATTGCGTAATATCAAAGTTTAGTCAAATGCAATCAAACGACAGTTAACATTTTGTTTATTGATCCACGTTCCACATTTGCTATAGGCTACTACAGCCAATACTAAAACACTACACTACACACTAAACTTATCAGATAGAAAGTACTGTGATTGGTTTAAAGAGTACAAGGTATAAAAACCACATAATAACAGCGAGTAATTTATACACTAATTAAGGTTAATATACTTTGAAATGTATTGTGAGGGGTCCATAATATATTTAAGAATCATAAGTATAAGCGAACAATGAATTAAACATCATATTATATTCTCTAACATCATATTATATTCTCAAAAAATATAATAAAAAAGTTCAAACCTTCAGTATATCGTATTTAGTAATTAAGTCAATAGATTCGTGCTCAACCCAAATGTAAAGAACAAAATAATATGTAAAAAAGACACAAAATCTATATAAATACAAAGCGACCGACAAGAAAGAGACATACACCTACTAGCGCAATATGTGAATGGTTACGAACTAAGTTATCTGGAAACGAGTAACGACATTATGTTCATCGACCTTGTCGTTGGTATCAGGCAAGACATTTGACCGAATACCAATTAGACTGGGTAAGACTCGAAATACAATCAGGACTGGAAGATGAAATGTGACCCAGTAGGGCATTTAATTTAATTGTCTTTAATTTAAAAATCAAGTAATCTTAAATGCTTTAAGATGACTTGATTTTTGGACAAAAGATGACCTGGTACTACGGTGGATTTGGCGTACTAACTGTTGTTTTACATTAAAGTACATTATAGTCTAACGTTTTCAGAGCCTTAAAAATACCAGGCATCCATTACTAATTAGTTATCCCGATTGCTGTCTATTCTTTAGTTATTTGTTCATCACTGAGAAAGTAAAATAGCTTTAACTACCGGTACTGAATTGTGTTGCTTTCCGCACGCTACTTGATTGTCTCTTTATCTACCGCAAGTGGAAAACTTCTAATTTACGAGAAAAACGACGATAAATTCTTGAAAGAAAACAAACACTGGAATCGATAACAGGAGCATGAGCGGGAATAACGATTGTATACAAGATGCAGAGGAAGCTACTGACAACATGACAACATGCACATCCGCGCTACCTAGGAGCAACGGCTGGAACTACTACAACAGCACTAACAGCAGCTGTGCGAGAATGGAGGAATGTCGTGGTTCTCTTTCTTTCCGCTAGGTAGCAGAAAAAGTCAACCACAGTACGAAATGTCGGCAAGGTAGACCGTAAATCAAGAGTCGACATTCAAGCTGCATGAACATTGTAATCGTAATGCAATAACAATTTTCTCATCTAAATAATGGTAGTAACCGGTAATTGCAAAGTATCAAGGTAGTATTGGTCATGTTGTGTCAGTGTCAAAAAGTAAATATTTACATTCCTCAAACTGTGCTGAAACAAAGTATTGTCCACATTCAATGTTAAAGAAATCGTTTTTGAACCAATATTGTTATGACTGATTCTGTCCCAATGCATACGGTTTTTTTATTACATAATGCGTTATTTCTTGTTTTAAAAATATGAAGATATTTTAATTTTTAAATCACATGCAACGGGAATTTATATTCTAAATACCTCAAACGTTGAAACAACGTTACCAATCAAAATTGCTACTAAGAATTCGAATTGTCAACGCACCTTGGTTAGTTACTACAGAACACTTCATAATGATCTTAAAATTCGAACGAATAAATTACAAAATCTAGTGAAAAATACTCGTTCACTAAACTACAAGTAATCTGTACAAACATTTCAAAACATATTCTTTCACTTTATATATTGTGAATTTTGAGTGGGTGAAATTGGCCCATTTCTACAACGGTCGTAGTGTTGGCAGCACTGTACAGATCAGCTGATACACGAAGGTAGTGGCGGTGGTGGGGGTAACAGTCACATGGTCTACTGTAGTGATGTGTGGAGAGGGCGACCTTGACCTTGGCTGGTGGTTGTTTATCTTGCTACGTCATCTCAGAATTTATATTTAAAAGTCTACAAACACCTGGATGAGTGTATACCGGTGTTGCATATTACGAGCCAGGCACGCCAGGGATTCCAATTATACCGGTTTATAGGCTACTTACAACTGCCAACTCGGGTTTGAAAATAGTGACGTCAATTTGTCCGTATCTCACGCAAGTGAGGTCAGCACAGCTCGATGTCATGAATGAATTGTCATTGTGGGTGTTTTCTGTACGTTGTAAAGTGAGTGTATGATGAGTGGCGCGATCTTGTAGTCTTGTTAGTGACTAAGGCCGACATTCCTCAGACACAGCTGTTAATTAATAGTCCATACAGCTAATGGCAACTAGGGACCTACAGTTGTGTGTAATGTGATTATTATCTTACAGGAAAGAACACAGCTTTATTAGCACAAAACCTTCGCCATCGTATAGTATCAATGATGTTATATTTTTGTGCACTTCTCAATAAAAAAAATTGCAAAAATTATGATTTGAGTAAAAACGTTACTTAAGCTAGTGAGGACGCTAAAGCTTCGTAAGGTTGGGGGCGGTTAAGAATGGTACATGACAATAAAAATGAACTATACTGACCAGTGATAGGTAGCGGAGTGGTGGGGCTCTCTAGCAGCAATATACCCTTCTGTACAAGCTCGTCCCTCGGCGCCCGCACCGAGATCTTGCGTTCCAGGGCTGTAACAGACACAACCACATTACAACATCTGGTGGGGCTCTCTAGCAGCAATGTACACTTCTGTACAAGCTCGTCCCTCGGCGCCCGCACCGAGATCTTGCGTTCCAGGGCTGTAACAGACACAACCACATTACAACATCTGGTGGGGCTCTCTAGCAGCAATATACACTCCTGGTACAAGCTCGTCCCTCGGCGCCTGCACCGAGATCTTGCGTTCCAGGGCTGTAACAGACACAACCACATTACAACATCTGGTGGGGCTCTCTAGCAGCAATATACACTCCTGTACAAGCTCGTCTCTCGGCGCCCGCACCGAGATCTTGCGTTCCAGGGCTGTAACAGACACAACCACATTACAACATCTGGTGGGGCTCTCTAGCAGCAATGTACACTTCTGTACAAGCTCGTCCCTCGGCGCCCGCACCGAGATCTTGCGTTCCAGGGCTGTAACAGACACAACCACATTACAACATCTGGTGGGGCTCTCTAGCAGCAATATACACTCCTGGTACAAGCTCGTCCCTCGGCGCCCGCACCGAGATCTTGCGTTCCAGGGCTGTAACAGACACAACCACATTACAACATCTGGTGGGGCTCTCTAGCACCAATATACCCTTCTGTACAAGCTCGTCCCTCGGCGCCCGCACCGAGATCTTGCGTTCCAGGGCTGTAACAGACACAACCACATTACAACGTCAACACAACAGAGTTCGAGAGTCAATTTTGAGGGAAATTAGGAATAGACTTATTGTTTTAACAACAACGACAATCTTTGTGGATATTTTAGGCGATTGAAACTTAATTATAAAGTGATTAAGATCATTTTATGTTATCAATATTAAATAATACAGTGTTACTGGGTTTTAAAATGTTGAGTAACAAAAATATGACATGGACTTTGTTTTCGATGTCTTGATTTGAAAACGTATAAATGTAAACGCCCGTAACAATATTTATGACACTTAATTTCCAATCAAGAATTATAATTAATTACTTAAGATTTTGGATTAAATATTAAGTAAGTTAGGCCCTAATATTCGGAAAAATAGATTTAAAATTTAAGATCCTTTTGGCCATTTAACAAAGTTCTTTATCACAGATAAGAAAATAATTGTAATTGGAGAGGAATGTTTTTCTCGTTTGTTTCTGTACAATATACAGTAAATTGCAATAATCCTCTAAGAAAACATTGATGATGGTTCAGAAACTAATCGTTAGTGGTATATTTTTCATTGTGTGGGAAAAGGCAAAGACAGAATGTTGTAAAATTATCCATTGATAACATTTTGGTAATACCTTTTGCGTAAAGCTGATAAGTAAAAATGACACAAATTATCGTATGAAAAACTGTACATCGGGCCAGCCTAATTGGTTCTGAAATAGCGTGGTGGCGGAGAAAGGGATGCAATTAAAATATAATCAGCCAACATTGTGATTTTGCTATCTGAATACAACGGGCCTATTACAACCAAGTATTGAATACCAACTTGTGGCCATAACATGGTAAGGTAAATAAAAGGTGCATCTCAACTTTCATATTGTAGCAATAACACAATGTGTATTTCTTTTGAATTAACAAAAATATTACAAATGTCATTGACAAAAAACCTGTCCTATGTTCTAATTATATCAATTCAGAAGATTTGTGTTTATTAAGCAACGGATTTACAGTATAATCAAACAATAGCACAAATATCAATCATTGCATGGATTCATGAACGCTACGAGACACATGAAGTCCTCACACTTCAATTATGTACGCGGTTGTTGATGCGTTTGTGTTTCTCCATTTGTTTGGTAGTGTTTTACAGTCTAGTTAGTGAATGGTTGTAAATAGAGAGCGGAGTAGGCCTAGAGGGGGAATTTAAATAGTAGGTTAAGTAATTGCATAGCCATTTTAAAATGTTCTTGATTAGGTTAGTCATGTTAAGGAAAGGTACTTGCGGCTCTAACCTTGCTTTCAAAAGAAAAAGATAGAGCAGAGCAGTTGATCAGTTTGGACAAGATGAGACACATCGCACTTCCTTGCGCAACACCTCATTACATCTACCATACAGTGGTGGTGATACTACAGTGAGGTTCATCGTACGACTGTACTGTACGTAGTAACGGTCCAAGCATCCTATATTGTACAAGTAACGGACCGCAGACGAACTATCCTTTGATTACATCTGTGTCAATCAGTCCATATCAGAGTACAGTAATGATATACTCGGTTTAGTCTTCCTTGGAGCTCTACGCAAAATAAAGACAATGTGCTTCGTTATTAACCACCCCCCCCCCCTAAGTGATTAAAACTGTGATTTAGACCCCTTCGAAAAAAGTTCAACCCCAAAATGCTAAACCCTGTGTAGTGAAACATATTCATCCTTTATGTGGGGCTTAAGCATACCATAGAATCTAAGCACATAACAATGATATGTTAACAGTTCTGCGATTTCAGTACATTTTAATCGTAAACTCATTAACTATGTAATGGTACAATTTAAATGGATATGTGCGCTTGGCTATACTATAGAACACTGATATATTTAACCGATTATGAGGAGAACAGTGTTCTAAACGTGACCTACTCACATGTAGACGGATTTATGGTGCTAATACAGACAATCTTCGCCTGCTCGCTTCAACATTACACTATGAACACCACGAATCACAAGGCTTTATGAGCATATACCACCTTTTTGTATGCAGCATTTTCACCACAAATTGTATCTTTAAGAATGTCGACTATTACACAATTTGAATTATTGTTGGGTCAGTCTTGAGTAGAATCACAGATTAAAGAGTAGGATCTATTCTTTAATCCGTAGTAGAATCCAATAAATATCAGTTTTTTTTTATATAAAAAAAGAAAATTTAAAACATGTTTGGGTTAAAACACATTAAGGTCTAATGGAATAGTAATACAGGGTGATTACCAAGAAACGCATGTTTTTCAAATAACGAGCATTCAGGCAATTCAGAGCAACAAATATATTTATGAGTGGAAAAACAGTGTACACAATATGCAATTTCAGAATAAAATTACTTACAATTTAGTGTTTAAAAATGACATATCTAAGGTGGTCCTTCTGTTTGGATACAGTACTGAAGGCGTTCCTTAAAATTTGCTATGCATTTTGCTAAGGAGTGGCGTTGATTTCCTGGCGAATAGCTCCTTTAAGTTCCTGTATTGTTTGTGGTTTGTTTATGTAAACTCTAGATTAAAAAAAAACCCCATAGAAAGAAACCTGGAATCGTAAGATCCGGTGAGCTAGAAGGCCAAGTGACATCACCAAAACGTGTGATAACTCTTGTAGGGAATGTTCGATGAAGGAATTCCATACCAAACAGAAGGCAAACAGGGATCTTAGAGATGTAATTTTTATACATTAAATTGTAAGTTTTGTTCTGAAATTGCATATTGTGTACACGGTTTTTCCACTCATAAATATTATTTTCTGCTGCGTTTCTTTACATGCGTTTCTCGGTAATCACCCTATAAATCAAATATGAAGGTGTACTTTTACTTTGTTATATAAATTCAGTTAACCTCATGCAGGTGAAACAGACTTCTGTACCATATAGTTAAACCCATGTTAAACAAAAGATCTTACCTCAACATTACGAATCTCAATACTGTAAGGAATTATTTAATATCTTTAACGAATATATTGTTTAACGACTTATCAGATTCGTTAATAAGGTACTTTTGTATCTACGAATAAGACACCGAGTGAACAATATTACTAAAAGGATTTATGAGGTCAGAATTAGTCTTTTGTTTGATTACAGTATATTCAAAACAATTAAAATATTGGCATACAGTAAGTGCAATCAGAATAGATGTATAATCAATCACCATCAGACCAATCCCCTTTTTAGCGAATTTCCCTATAGGGAAGTAGCTATTACCGTAGGTCTCATGGTAAGACCTAAGCCCGGGACCGATTTACTTTTTCATTTTGATGTCCCCAGAGGCCAAAAACAACATTCGTTCAAATTTTTATATATCTATATATAGAGATATATATATATATATATATATTACTAAGCAAATCAAAATACCACAGTACCCTAAAAACATTTTATTTTATATTACTTACATGTTTCGGACATTAATGCCATGATCACAGTATAGTATATAACCTATTAGTTTCTTTTATTTACAAACATTATTAGATATTTCTTATTAAAGAACAGGTGATAATTTTTATGTTAAGGGAAGGAGGTGTTTTCTTTAAGATGTATAATTTCATTGAATATTACGTTTTGATTTTGAATTTGTGTCAAGTTTAGTAAATTTTCTTTGTCATTAATATGATGAGTATAAATATAAAAGTCTTCTTTTGTATTCATTTTTTCACCTTTATTTTCAACATCCAGAATGTGCATATTTTTAATCATTTCTGAGTATGTATGGTCGGTCTGAAGTATATGTTCGGCGTATGAGGATTTTTGTGTTGTCATATTGTTTGATCTGATTGCCTGTATATGCTCTTTGTACCTGACTTCGAATGTTCGACCTGTTTGACCAATATAGTATTTTTCACAGTTGTTACATGATAATTTGTAAATTCCTGATTTCTTATATAAATTTGGTGGGTTGGGTCTCGGATTTGTTCTTTTTTGAATGATGTTAAAAGCGTTATTCCTTGTTTTATAACTTAGTTTAAATTTTGAGTTCGGTAATGTCTTTCTTAAGGTTTTGTTTAAGGATGAGCTGAATGGAATACATATAAATTCTTTCTTTATGTTTTCTTGTTCTTCTACTTTCATTCTTTTTGTTTTTCATTTTTTATTAATTTTTCAATCATTTTTTCTTTGTATCCGTTTGTTTCTGCAATTCTTTTTATAGTTTTCTTTTCTATTTCAAAGTTGTCTTTAGACATTGGTATGTTAAGTAGTCTAAATACCATTGATTTGAATGTAGAAATTTTGTGTTGCCAAGGATGGTTTGACTCAAATGGAATGATTAGGTCAGTTTGGGTAGGTTTCCTATATATATTGAAATTAT